CTAAATGGCCACTATAATTACAAATATTTAGCAGCATTCCGACCTAAAGATAGAATGCATGCATCCAGAATATTAAAGGAAAACCCGACACTCAAGAAAATATCGGATTCCGGACTGATGAAACTGCTAAAAGATCAAGATTTTGTATACTCACTTATGAGACCTAAAACAAAGAAAGAACAATACCAATTAAAGATTCGACAAATCAAAAATAATATACAATATAATCAAAATACCGAATTGTTTGGAACGATTGGCCAAATATTTGATGAACATCCAAACATACCATTAGTATGACCAACGTTACGGATTTATGGCAAAATTGCCTTACAAGGAAATTACCGGCAATATTAATCCGGACATGTAGATCGATGTGAAAGCCAACAGACCCTATATAGATATGTAAGTCATCTCAATATACTATAATCATGTGATTTACGGATAGATTGGTATATATTGATCGATATTATTATTGATTGTAGTAATAATAAATGATTGAAGAGTGGATCAAGTAAATATTTGGCTTTTTTTAATTAAGCTTTCTATCGCAGCTACCTAACTAAGTATAAAATAAACTATTCAACTTCATCGATATTTACTATAAATATTTTATTGTTACATAAAATTTAAAGCTTAAAATCCGCTAATATTGATTAAATAATCAGTTCCCCCATTGTTAATGCTATTTTGAACTTTTATTGAAGATATGATTCATTACTTTTAAATAGTTCAATTAATTTAATTAGCAGATTCATTGGTTAAATTACTACATTCATTGATGTGATTTGTTGAAGTAATTACATCATTCGTAGTTTTTTTGTTCCTACAGCTTCTTAAGTTACTTTCGATAAAACTATCAGAGGCAGCCTGTGAATTATAACTATTTCTCCAATTTTCATAGATAATGTAAAGAATTGTATTTCCTATTCCGCCAAAGCTTACAGAAAGTGTCGCTGCAGTATAAATCCAAAAATTTTCAATCTAAAAAAAAAAAGAAATGAAGAGTTAGTAAGTTCATGATTATAAAGAAAAAATAAATATTTTTAACCTATATAATTATGAATATTTACATGAAAAATTTGAGATATTAAAAAAATCACCACAGGAACCCATTCTAAAATGACGATTAAAACATAAAAGGTAATTTTTCTTGCAACAATAAAATCAATTTGACTAAGCTTAGAGCTAAATCTTTTACGGTTACTATATACACCCAATAAAGTCATAATATAACAATATATTGTAAAGATTAATATTATGACAATCGACGAAACAGCTATTAATGCTGTTATTGGTTCAGTGGGAGAACTGAAACACCTGTTAAATAATATAAGCACAGAAGATTTATCTCAGTATTGCAAATTTAAAGTAACATAAACCAAGACATACCAAAATTGATTATGTCCATAATTATTAAATCCGATCAAGGTTATTATTAAAGATATCAATATAATGGGCAAAAATAATTTATAATCATATATTCCTAGGTCAATAACTATTTCTCTACATATTCGAAGATAAATCGTCAAAGACACAGATCCACTAAGGGACACATTAAATGTAAAAAGGAAAAACGTTATTCCACCAATAATTTTACATGCATCCCCTTGAATCGTATAATGATGAATGGTTGTATATGCCTTACATATTAGAGATAGGTTAATAATATGTTATAAATTTTTAGTATTGACTTAAAGAATACGTACACCATTCACTAGGTTGACGAAAAAGAATATGAACTCTAATTTATTTGATAATGAAAAAAAATTTAAATAATCTATGTTTAGTATATTTGAATAGTGTAGAGAATGAATTACATACCGCCAAATACGAAATAAAATGGCACCCTGTGAACCATCACTAGAGATCTCTTAGTTATCCACCATAGTGTTAAAATCCTCATAAGAAGGTAAATTAAGCAAACGGCATCCAAAATACTGAAAATAGTAGCAAGTGGTACGATAATATTAAGGCCAGGAATAGGATCGGACATTTTACAGTATCTAATAAACTGTCCTGGATAAAAAAAAAACAAAAAAATAAAAGCAAACCAATTTTTTGTACGGAATTTATATGCGTTATATTAAATTTATTATATAGATATACATTTTTTTGTAGATCACTAAAAAAAAATTTCGGGATAAGCTAAGTGCATCGTTTCACAATTTAGTGTTAGCGTTAAGTCGAATCCAAATTGACCCTAATCGGTAAAAGTTTAAAAATAATAAAATTAGGCCATGCAAAATTAATTAATTGGTTTCATAACCCGTAAATTTTTATATGTTTTTAAGTAAGGGTGTTGACAAATATTACGTAATATTTTTTTACTATACCCTCTACCCCCCTCCCCCCATGTAAGAGAATTTTGGTTGGCTAGTTTATATATTTATTATAACATAAGATATCCAAGACCCCCCCTCCCCCTCAGGATATTACGTAATATTTGTCACTACCCTAACCGGGTGAGTTTTAAAAAAAAAAAATTTATTAAATTTTTTATATGAAATTTTTTTAAAAAAAAGCTGGGCCTATTTAAAGTTTCGTGTTATGAAAACCAAGAAATTAAATTTGTTCGACCTCATCGTTCAGATGATAAAATTATACGACCAGTAATAAAATATTAATTATATCGTTAACGTTTTTTTGCATAAATAAAACAGTCATGAATATTACATAAAATTCTACATAATCAATGAAAAAAATACAAAAAACAAAAGCATATAAAAAATTTGCATGACTAAACATTACATAAATTTAAAAATAATTCTTATCAATTTTGCACTTTGTCATATACAGCTAGTTACTTTTTTTAACAGAAACAAGCATTAGAAAAGCAGTTAATCTTTTTGGCAGCTTATACTTAAAATTATTGATTGCTGAACTGTTTATGCTGTTCAAAAAATGAATGGGTCAAATTTGTACTAGGCGATGAATATAAATAAAAACATTTTGCCATTAATATTTTATTTTTTTTTATTTTAGTATTCGATCAAAGATTTTGTGTGCCAGAAAGTTGCATCGTTTTATTAGAGTTTCAGAGTTAACTATTTTTAAATTAAGTAGGAGTTTGAAAAGTTCTATTTTTGGTTTGAAATTTCGAGTTATCCGGAGATAAAATAAACAATCGTTTTATTTGAAGAAAATTTACGATTAAAAAGTACTCATTATTAGTTCTAAATTTCGGGATAAAGTACGTACGTTCTCTTCCATTTGTCGCTGGGGTGTGGCCAACCATTTGGCGTGACAAATAAGCACCAATTATTTATATAATAAATTAGTTACCTGTAATGCTTATCTGTCACGTCGGATAATTTGTCGCACCCCAGCAGCAAACGGAAGGGGTCATCTACAATAGACTTGACCCTTAAATTTCGTGCCGTTGCATTAAAAATTGACCTAAGTTTTTTCTAAATCGGTGAAAATTTGATAATGACATAGGTCAATTCAAAATCGACCTAAATTGTAAAACGACGCAGAACATACAGTGCTAACTCTTTAAAATTTTGCCCGAACAATTTTACTATACATAGTCGTGCTTTCACACTTGCAGATCACTTTTACTACGTATACATAGTCAATTAGTGTAATACACTTGCCATTTGTAATAATGTTATGTAACGCGAGTTACAGATTAATCTACCAAAGACTATTTTCTGAAATACTATTTCACCAAAGCTATAATACTGGAATTCCATCTTATTGACAAGATATGATCCTGGAATATCAGTAATGTATAACGTATTTTCCACTCAAGTATTAGTCTGCAACTATTATTATTCTTCGAACATTAAGGAATCATAGGCTATTATTATACTTACTGTCGGGGAAATAGGTTGTCAAGAAATTTCTATCACGAAATCAGAAAACAAAATTGTCAATGTTATAGAATCAGAATAATGATACAGTACGGAATAACAAAAATATCAAATAATTTTCAAGTGCCGATTTTAAGATTATAATAAATATGATTAATTAAATTGAATATAATCAATTTTGATTTGTTAAGCGAATATATCGGTAATTTTTTTAATATATTAAATGCCAAAATTTTAAATTCATATAAACTTTAAGCTAAAATAACTAATTTATATGAAAAATAAAATCCATCTAACAGAATTGTAGGTTTAATAAAAAATATCCAATTTGCAAGACAAATTATTGTTGCTGAGCTATAAAGTATAGGATATTTTTTGCTTTCTGGTGCTGTTCACGGGAAAGTGAGCATCGCAAAGTGGGCTTTAATTCCGATTTATCGATAACTACCAATACTCCATATGTATCATTAAATGAATTTTCCGCAGACGATCTTATAACATTGAACCTAGGTGCCGCACAAAAAATGCGCGGCAGATCCTCGATTTTGATTGGCTAAAATAAATTAAGCCGGAATT